TGTTCTATATGTGCAATAGAAATTGAGCTTTTATTAATAAATCCTCTTGTTCCTATGGAAACTTCTCCTCTAATGTCTACTCAAAACCGGGAAACAATACCTCAGAATCAATGGCACTCCGTGCCTCTAACCTAAATTTTCCAATATTTCCAACTTATGTAGATCAAACCCAAAGTGAGGAGCACAGGCCTAAAAAAAAACCAAGAAAAGAAGGTGAAAAAAAAAAATCTTCTATAATAAAAAAAATTATCAAAGAATTATCAACCGATACTTCTGGTATTAGCAAAGCTTCAGAAGTAAACGTAAGTAGCGGTAGTTTTTTGCAACTTTCCAATAAGATTGACCACGCAGAATCTAAAAATGAAGATAAGGTATTTTGGTATATTATCATCATAGAACAAACTTATTCTGACACTAGTGCTGGTAATAAGATTGGGGTACGCGAATTCTTGGAGGCTTTGGGATTATTAGATAATGAAGTCGTGCCCATCAACATGGATGATGATGACAATAGTGAATCTGATATCGACGAAGAAGATAGTGATGATGAAGATAGTGACGATAATCAGGACAATTATTGGAACTGGGACCCTAGGAAAACATATACTGGATGGGATTATCAAAAACGTTTTGGTAAAGATGCTTTGAAAAAGCTTTATCGAGACCGGGAAGCTCGTCAACATTTTATTCTTTTTAGGCTATTTACCATGCGCCTTTTTAATTTATCTGAGCAAGCAAAAAATAGATTATTTGTCGTGTTTTCTAGATCTAATTCATTTGGAGTATTAGAACACAATGCATTATTGGATGCTCTAGCTCATCCTGTGAAAGGTTTAAATCTTTTCGATTATGATGAACTCAGGTTTGATTTAATAAACAATACGAAATTGTAACAAAACTTATGGCGTTTTTAAATTATTGATATAGTTTAATCTATATTTAGTTAACATGGATCTTGCATAATTATTTTTTCTCCATTCTTGAATATTGGACATGTTTAACACGTGGATTTTATTGACTAAGGCTTTTATTTAATAAGTATGAGCCAAGGACTGATCGATCTACTAGCAATCGTGAATGATTTACAAATTAGTAATATGTTAACCAGATAAAATAAAGCAATGATAATTCGATTTGGACAGAAAAACCAGGACCACTTGACCTATTGTCAATTCTCAAGTTTATTGGCACTTTGATAATACCGATCTTGAGCACGTTTTACAAATATTCTATTTGGTTGATAGAGCTATTTAATTACTGCATGCTAGATTATTCTAGCTGAATTTATTCATTTTTACCATAAATGATATATTCGCTGGATAATAATCGCTGATCGATTTTTTATATACAAAGTTAGAAAATATGTTACTTGGGTTTTAAATTCTCTAAATTCAGAGTTATTGGCTATAGATTCATTTCTGGTTAAATTATTTTTAATACGAAATACAAAGTTTCTCCAATGAACCTTTCTATTTATATCATATTCTAGTATTAATAAACGTCTTCGTATATATTCAGGTGGATGATACTTTGCAAATCGTAACCATGCTTCTGGTGTTTTTAGATTATTGATATAGTTTAAACCATATTCGGTTAACATGTATCGGGTATAACTATTTTTTTCCCATTTCTCAAAAATATCTTGAATATTAGGCATGTTTAACACGTAGATTTTATTAACTAAGGCTTTTATTTAATAAGTATAAACCAACGACTAATCGATCTAGTGAATGATTAGTGAAAAAAAGGAGGAGTATATAAATTTTTTTTTCTCGCAAGCTTGAAAAAAGATCTATCTGGGTTACTGATATATCCAGATTACTGATATATCTGGCTTCGAGTGATTTAATCACGAGAAAGCGAGATTTTTATTTTACTTCGTCACTGCCAATTTATAAGAAAAAAAAATATTAATATAAAAATATATCTCTCAATTGTGATCTTAAGAATAGCATTAGGAAAACGGTGAACAACTAGCGATCACTACTTCGAACTGCTAATAGCTTTCTTTATCTTAACCTTTTTTGGTCATACCTTCCTTCGTTGCTTATAAGAAACAGCCTTTTGTTCTCTTACCTCAATTATCTTAACAGAATCAGATTCTTCAGATGAATCAGATGAATCGGATGAATAGGAGGAACTCTTACCTTTTTCATTAATGTGCGTGGGAACTATTTCATGTATTAAGTCAACCACAGTGCTCTTGTCCACACAATCATTTAAATCTTCTAATTCAGTCTCTAGGAATGCCACATCTCTCTCCAATTTTTTTATCGTCTTTTCTAGTTCAAATATCTGAGCTACTAACTTTCTATATCTGATAACTTTCTGCTTGCCAGGTGCATCATGCTTGTTGTTGGATGAATGCTTTTCAGTTATTTCTATTCTGGTCATTTTTGTATTATTTTATATATGATATATATTCTCTCGAGCGAAAAAATAAAATTAATAATTGATACCTAACCCTCTATGTGATCAGTTTTCATCGAAGAGCTTGAATGCCTCTGCTTGATTATATAGTTTACCTCTTCTCCGCATATTGACTATAGTATATCTTTTAGATGGAGAAGTGTGGTTGTTGGAACTATGCCTTAATGCCTCACTAGCATAAGTATTAGCCTTTGATGTATTTTTAGGCCATGCGCTACAGAAGCAAATACTGCCTCTAATTTGCGTAAAGAGCTAGAAAGTAATGGTTCACCACTTTCAGGAATAAATTCATCTTTTTTCAGAAATGTACTTAAGTACGTAGATCCAAGTTTTCCTGGGTCCTTAAACTGTTCAGAACAAATATTATCCTGAATCCAAGTAAGGAGTTGCTTAGCCCGCTCCTCATTCTTTTCTAGTGATCTAAACACTCGAGGAATATCCTGTTGATCTCAGTTTTTTGCATATCTAGTTATAGCCCCATTAGATATAGCAAGTTTTTAATTTTAGCAGGACGAATGCAGAGCATTATTATTACATCGGCTAGGGCCTGTTTGTCAGGTATATTAGATACATCGTATTTATCTAATCTTTCCTTGACCGATTCTAACGAGAAGTGGTCTGGAAAGTCTATTTCTTCATTTTTGTGTTGCTCACTACGCTCCTTTTGAACTTTATTGGATAACCTAGTTACCTCCGGATTCAATGTAGCAGAAATTATTTTT